AAAAAGAAAAGACTCTTCTGTTGGTGTGTGCTCTCATTTGCTGTATCCTGCCTGTGTTTGGTCCACATTTGGGCCATTTTTTGGTTAATTTTCCATTTTAAAATATTTTTTAATATTATTTTAATATTATTCTTAAGAAATACCAAAAATATTCTAAAAATTCGTTAATATTTACAAAATTTCTTAAATACCAAAACTTTTTTTTGGGAAAGTTTTGTAATTATTTTAAATATCGAAACAAAAAAACACCCCAATTACAAATCGATTTTAGAAACAATTTTTTTCTTGATCAAACAGGCCTATAATCTTTACTACTTATCCTACAGCTTAAAATATTTACTACCATAATTGATTTATCTTACATTCTCATATAATATATATAATATATCTCAAATATTTCTCCTTTCTTAATTTCATTGTCTGGGAATACATTATATTCTTTTTAGTACACCTCTTCATTTTTATTATTATTTTTCCTCTTTTCCCCATTATTTCGCATCAAATGTATGAGAGAGTTCAAAATATAAACAGGAGTAGCAATTAAAGGAAAAACCAGGAAGAGAATAAAAGAAGAGAGAAAAGAAAAGAAGAAAGAGAGAAGAAAAAAATTAGAAGAAGGAGGAGGAAGAAAGAAGAGAGAGAAAAGGAAAACGGACAGAGAAAAGATAGAAAGAAGAGAGAGAGAGAAAAAACCCTACACACATCATACATTAACAAATATGTAGACTCCCAGATCTCCCCAAGATGAAGATCTTATCATTGCTGATAATCCATTGGATGTTTCTTTGCTTTTCCATCTCCGTTTTCTCCTTGATGCCACCTTTGAGATTTTCTTATAATTCACTAACATAGATCTTTATTTTCCTTTTTAATGTAGTCAATAAATTTTGTCCAATCTGTCTTTTGACAAGCCTCGTTATTTGGTGCAATTCTTTGGGTGAGTCTGTCTCAGGGTCCTATTTCTCACTGTCAGACATAGTTAAAAAATGTCAATGAATCCAAAATATCATGGCAGAATGCTCATAGGTCTCCTGTGTTTCAAAGGCATGCTCTCCAATATATTGTTATTACTTGTGTATATACTAGGGCTGGGCGGTTTCGTTTCGTTAATTCGGAATTAGTTAAAAATTCGTTAATTTTTTTATAACGAAGCGATAACGAACCATTCTGGAGCAACTTAAAAACGAAACGAATTTTTAAATACGTTTTGTAAATGCTTCGTATTTCGTTATGTATTCGTTTCGTTATTGGTTTGAGGTCGTTTCGTTATTATTTCTGCATGTCTGGGGCAAGTTTTATAATTGTTTTTTGTTTAATTAGTAAAAAAAATTATAATATCACACCAACAGTCAACAACAGAGGGAGAGGGAAGCTTCAGAAGTTTTTTTAGCGTATTGCGCGATCGCGGCCGCCATTAACGAATCGATTCGTTATTGTTTCGTTATCGTTTTGTAATTTTTTTACCATTTACAAAATTTCGTAAATATCGAACCTTTTTTAAGGAAAATTTTGTAATTATTTTAAATAACGAAACGCAAAACCCCCCAAAAAACGAACCGATTTTAGAAACAAATTTTTCCGTTGTTACCCAGGCCTAGTATATACCTAACATTATCTGGGTCCCTTCCTTCCTTCCTTCCTTCCTTCCTTCCTTCCTTCCTTCCTTCCTTCCTCCCTCCCTCCCTCCCTCCCTTCCTTCCTTCCTTCCTTCCTTCCTTCCTTCCTCCCTTCCTTCCTGTCCCCATTCTCCAGGTCTGAAAGAGCCCCACAATGTCTCAATTGTGGCTCTTTTTTGTGGGGAGTCAGCTGCTTTAAAATCACTACTGATTGAGACATAATGAGAAGCCAGCCCGGGTCTAGCTTGCTGTTGACTTTTGCAGCCTGAAAGACAGTTGCATCTCTCAAGTAGGAAATTTAGGTAATGCTTATGTAGGGAGGCTAATTTAGCTAATGTACGACGCCATAAATCTCTCCAGCAGTGGGCAAAAGAATGAGGAAGTATTCCATTCGGTGTCACAAGTGGATGGTGAAGCAACAGCTCCCCCGGTGGCCAGAATTCAAAAAGCATGCCCTCATGAAGCTGGAAAGTTAAATAGCCTCTGTGTCTCTGTCTATATATGTTGTGTGTCTATGGCATTGAATGTTTGCCATGTATATGTGCATTGTGATCCGCCCTGAATCCCCTGCAGGTTGAGAAGAGCAGAATATAAATACTATAAACAAACAAACAAACAAACAAATACCTTTCTTTCTTTCCCTCATATACATCTCTCTCTGAGTCTCGGAGATAAAGCGGAATATAAATAAAGTGTATTATTATTATTATTATTATTATTATTATTATTATTATTATCATCTGGTGACACCACAAAGGGGCACTGGATTGTCACCTAGCAACAGCCTTTGTGGTACTGACACACACACACACTATCTATCTATCTATCTATCTATCTATCTATCTATCTATCTATATGTAATGTTCATTTGTGGGATTAACAGAACTCAAAAACCACCGGACGAATTGACACCAAATTTGGACACAAGACCTCTCTCAGGCTGAGTGACCATCACTCATAAAAACACTGAAAAACGCAGCAGAAGGGACTTAAAAAAACAACAACATTACAACGCATGCACAAAACCACATATATATACACAAACACACATATATACACACATATATGCATATACACACACAAAACACATACACAGAAAGGAGGAAGGAAGGAGGGATGGAAGAAGGAAGGAAAGAAAGAAGGGTAGAGAAGGAAGGAGAGAGAGAAGAAGGGAAAGAAGGAGGGAAGGAGAGAAAGAAGGAAAGAAAGAAGGTAGAGAAGGAAGGAGGGAGAGAAAGAGGGAGAGAAGAAGGGAAAGAAGGAGGGAAGGAGAGAAGGAAAGAAAAAAAGAAGGGTAGAGAAGGGGGGAGAAAGAGGAAGGAGAAGGAAGGAAAGGAAAAGGAGAGAAGGAAGGAAGAGAAAAAGGAGGGAAAGAAGGAGGGAAGGAGAAAAGAAGGAAAGAAGGGTAGAGAGAAGGAAGGAGAGGAGGAGAGAATGAAATAAAAAAGTGAAAGAGGGAAGGAGGAGAGAAGGAACGAAAGAGAGAAAGAGGGAGGGAAGGAAGGAAAGAGACAAGACAGGATGGAACCAAAGAGCAAAGGAAGCGTAGAGAAGGAAGAAAGAAGAGGGGAAAGAAAAAGAGGGAAGGAAGGAAGGAGAGAAAGAAATAAAAGAAATAAGGAGAGAAAGAGGGAGGGAAGGTTGGCCACAGCAACATGTAGCGAGTACAGCTAGTATATATATGTGTGTGTGTGTGTGTGTGTGTGTGTGTGTGTATATATATATATATATATATGTTTTGAGTATTAGTATTCTATTATACACATTGTGGTATGTATCAGTCTTCTCAAAATAAACCATTTGAATTATACATATACATTTGCCTCTAAAATTCTCTCAAACCAAATCCTTTCCTCCTCCAACAGTGATGCTAATAGATGTGTGCATATATACACAAACACAGTGATCCTAATAGGTGTGATGCTAATACACACACACATTGAACCCCCATCTTCTTCAGAGACATGAATGCTGTTTGATACCACTTGAATTGACCTGGGTCAGTACTATGGAGTCTCGAGAGTTGTAGTTTGGTGAGGCCCGAGCACTCTTTGGCCGAGAACACTAAAGACCTTGTAAAATCACATATCCCGAGATTTCATAGAATTGGATCATGGCAGTGCAAGTCTGGCCTAACCGAATTCATTCTGCAGCATAAGCACCCTAGGTTCTATACTAGGGGTGGAAAACATTGATCTTCTAGAACGTCTTTGGGCTGTACTTTCCACAACTCTTGACTACTGTCTATCCTGGAGAGGACTGGTGGGATTTGAATAGCCCAAGAGCATCTCTAGATGTTCCTCATCTCTGTTATTGAGTGATCGAAAACAATAAGAAATGCTTGGCCTGGATTGTAAGATCACCATTTTGAGTTTTGTGGGTCTCAGACTTGTTCAGTGAAGGACCCTTGTCCTCTATGATGGGGTGGAAAACGTTGATCTTCTAGAACGTCTTTGGGCTGTACTTTCCACAACTCTTTGACTACTGTCTATCCTGGAGAGGACTGGTGGGATTTGAGTAGCCCAAGAACATCTCTAGATGTTCCTCATCTCTGTTATTGAGTGATCGAAAACAATAAGAAATGCTTGGCCTGGATTGTAAGATCAGCATTTTGAGTTTTGTGGGTCTCAGGCTTATTCAGTGAAGGACCCTTGTCTTCTATGATGGGGTGGAAAACATTGATCTTCTAGAACGTCTTTGGGATATACTTTCCACAACTCTTGACTACTGTCTATCCTGGAGACGACTGGTGGGATTTGAATAGCCCAAGAACATCTCTAGATGTTCCTCATCTCTGTTACTGAGTGATCAAAAACAATATGAAATGCTTGGCCTGGATTGTAAGATCACCATTTTGAGTTTTGTGGGTCTCAGACTTATTCAGTGAAGGACCCTTGTCCTCTATGATGGATTGGGAAGATGGAGACAAAGAGGAAACCGGATTGTAACTTTCTCATTACCCAAACATTTGGTAGACAAATGCTGACTTAGGAAAGTAGTTGTTTGAGACTCCTTACCTAAGATCCTTCTTTGATAGACTTCTACAATTTGATTGAATTTGTATGTCTCATCAAGGGCAGGCTGTCTGATTTGTCAGGAATTTCAGGAGTCATGAACATTTCATCGAGGGCAAGGAGACAAACAGAAGCTTGGGTGGAGTTTTCTTTCAGAAGATTAAGACGGATCAGGATGGTGAGCGGCTCAGAGCTCCTGATTAGCCCAAAAAATGAAACAAAAGCCCAAATAATTGGAGCAGGTTGAAGATAAAACATCAAAAAAGATTATTGGGAAATAATGAAAGACAAAAGTGGGAAAAGGTATGCCTTGCATCCTGTGGTCTGACTTGTGAAGAGTATAAAAAGGCATCGTTGTCCTCAAACATTTCACAGAAGCTTCTCTTGGCTGTTTCCACTTCGTTTCTCCGCTTCAGAGTTGAAGGTAAGGCCAGCTTCATTGAGGGCTTCCCTTGAGAGAGCTGACATCTAACATTGTTTATGCTGAGATTCTGGGGGATATTCGAAGGTTGTCCCTTTTGGGGTGAAGCCTTCAAAGGATATTGAGGGAAAGCGAGCAAAGAAAGACAGAGCTTTGGTCAGGCGAGGTATCTTTCCTTGAGGGTATGTAGAAAGGTAGAACATCTAGTTTGATGCCCTACATCAGTGGTTCTCAACCTGTGGGTCTCCAGATGTTTTGGTCTTCAACTCCTAGGTCTATCACTTTATCATCTATCTATCTATCTATCTATCTATCTATCTATCTATCTATCTATCTATCAGGACCTGAAGGAGGCGTCTCTTAGGTCTATCACTCTATCATCCATCCATCTATCTATTGCAGTGGTTCTCAACCTGTGGGTGCCCAGATGTTTTGGCCTTCAACTCCTAGGTCTATCACTTTATCATCTATCTGTCTATCTATCTATCTATCTATCTATCTATCTATCTATCTATCTATCTATCAGGACCTGAAGGAGGTGTCTCTTAGGTCTATCACTCTATCATCCATCCATCTATCTATTGCAGTGTTTCTCAACCTGTGGGTGCCCAGATGTTTTGGCCTTCAACTCCTAGGTCTATCACTTTATCATCTATCTCTATCTATCTATCTATCTATCTATCTATCTATCTATCTATCTATCTCTATCTATCTATCTATCTATCTATCTATCTATCTATCTATCTATCTATCAGGACCTGAAGGTAGGCGTCTCTTAGGTCTATCACTCTATCATCCATCCATCTATCTATTGCAGTGGTTCTCAATCTGTGGGTCTCCAGATGTTTTGGCCTTCAACTCCCAGAAATCCTAACAGCTGGTAAACTGATTGGGATTTCTGGGAGTTGTAGGCCAAAACATCTGGGGACCCACAGGTTGAGAACCACTACTCTACATCTTTAGAAGACCATGGTAGGCTCAGTGTCCTGGTTTACGGAACAGATGGTCAAGCTATGACACTGGAGATGTTGTTGGGCATCAGATTTCCCAACCTACATTACTAGCTATGCTGGCTAGGCATGATGGGATTTGCTGGTCAAGTGTGATTCTCTATATTGGTGGTTCTCAACTGGTGGTTCCCCAGATGTTTTGGTGTACAACTCCCAGAAATCCCAACCAGTTCACTAGCTGTTAAGATTTCTGGGAGTTGAAGGCCCAAACATCTGGGGACCCACAGGTTGAGAACCACCAATATAGAGGATCTCACTTGACCAGCTCTGGGATCATTTCCCACTATAGCTTTATAACTCCATGACATCTATTTTGACATCTGATGACATCTTGCTATTTGTAGTTGAGAATTCTGAATGCCCCTCTTAGAACTGCAAATTAATATTAATAGTATTGTCTAATTTTAAGAATAATACATTTTCATTGTATTTTGTTTTTAAACTCCTATGGTAATTCACTTTGACTCCTGTAATAGAAAAAGGTGGGATATAAATTCAGCAATCAAATAAATAAAGTTCCAGCCCTTTGATGGGCTATATCCAATCTGTTTTCCCTCTTGCATTTTCACATTCTTATAATGAAATTTTTGGCAACACTTCTCCATGTGGAATGGTTACCTTTTGTTTCAATATTTTATTGAGTCAATTTACTAAAACCCATCAATGGGATTTATCTATCCCTATGAGGGTTATGCATTTGGCGTCAACTTTGATCTGTCTCATGTCTTGGCTTTCAGTAGAGGCCCCAATTCATTTTTGGGAGCCTCCTGAAATCGTTTTGGGGTATCGAAAGATCTGTTTTCTGTAGGTCCATTATTGGGCGGAGGGGGGGCTTCCCAGGTTCCTCTTCCCATCATTTTAGGCATTTAAGCCATTTTACTCTAGAGGAGAGTGGCTAAGCTGTAGGCAGACACACACTTTAAGAAGGCTTCTTACTTGTTCCTTACTCTTTAGGAGACACTTGGCTGCAAGCAGGACATGTGGTTTCTAGACCCGCTGCACGCCACATGCACACTTTCCAAGGCAAGGAGGCATCAGGCAAGTTCTCCTACTCCAGAGGAGGTGCTTGGTTGCAGGCTCGCAAATGTGCTTTCTGGTCCTGCACGACACATACACAGTCTCTTTCCAAGGCAAGGAGGCTGCTCATGAAAAGCAGGCAAGGAACTGATATCGGCTCCCACTTACTTTCGTGTTGAGCTGATTTTCATGCTGAAAGGGCACTTTCAATTATGTGCTCCAGAAGGTAACCAAAGTAATAAAAGAACGCGTGAAATGAAGGAAAAAGGTACCGACTTCATTGAGGGCTTTCCTTGAGAGAGCTACCATTCAACATTGTTTATGCTGCGATTCTGTGGGATGTTTGAAGGCTGTCTCTTTTGGAGTGAAGCCTTCAAAGGATATTGAGGGAAAGCAAGCAAAGAAAGAAAGAGAGAACTTTGGTCAGGCTAGGTATCTTTCCTTGAGGGTATGTAGAAAGGTAGAACATCTAGCTTGGTGCTCTACTTCTTTAGAAGACTGTGGCAGGCTCAGTTTCTTGGTTTCTTACTCTAGAGGAGGCGCTGGGCTGCAGACGGGCGTTCACACTTTCTGGGCCTGCTGCATGCCACATGCTCTTTCATGCAGGCACTCAAACGTGCTTTCTAGTCCTGCATGGCACATACACAGTCCCTTTCCAAGGCAAGGAGGCTGTTCATGAAAAGCAGGCAAGGAACCGGTATCGGCTCCCACTTGCTTTCGTGTTGAGCTGATTTTCATACTGAGAGGGAGCTTTCCATTACGTGCTCCCAAAGGTAACCAAAGTAATGAAAGAACGCATGAAATGAAGGAAAAGGGTACCGTGTACAACCCTAATTCCTATATTTCTGCCTTAGACAGTCAGGGCCTGCTGCACGCCACATGCACTTTCCAAGGCGAGTTCCCTTACTCCAGAGGAGGCACTTGGCTGCAGGCACTCAAATGTGCTTTCTAGTCCTGCACGGCACATACACAGTCCCTTTCCAAGGCAAGGAGGCTGCTCATGAAAAGCAGGCAAGGAACTGGTATCGGCTCCCACTTGCTTTCGTGTTGAGCTGATTTTCATACTGAGAGGGGGCTTTCCGTTACGTGCTCCCGAAGGTAACCACAGTAATGAAAGAACGCATGAAACGAAGGAATAGGGTACTGTGTACAACCCTAATTCCTATATTTCTGCCTTCGACAGTCAGGGCCTGTTGCACACCATATGCACACTTTCCAAGGCAAGGAGGCATCAGGCAAGTTCCCTTACTCCAGAGGAGGCACTTGGTTGCAGGCACTCAAACGTGCTTTCTAGTCCTGCACAACACATACACAGTCCCTTTCCAAGGCAAGGGGGCTGCTCATGAAAAGCAGGCAGGGAACTGGTATTGGCTCCCACTTTCTTTTGCGTTGAGCTGATTTTCATACTGAGAGGGGCTTTCCGTTACGTGCTCCCGAAGGTAAGGAAGGTAATGAAAGAATGCATGAAACGAAGGAAGAAAGTACCGTGTACAACCCCAATTCCTATATTCTTGGCTTGTTAAAACTTGGTGAGTTGTCTCTTTGTGAATTCTTTGACATCCTCTATCTATGCATGGCCATCTCATCTTATGAAGTCAAAAGTTGAGTGTTGTCATCCTTGAAGAGTCAATCACTGGTTTGAAAAACTAAGTGGTGAGCTGGACCATACTCATGAATAAGTAGGCATTCCTCTTTTTAAAAAATTTGGTTGAAATAGGGCCTTGAGGGCAAGATTCTTAACTGTCAAACAACTGGATTCGTAACAGGGTGTGGTATTGAGAAATTGTATTGTGGTTCGTCTGAGGAATGCGAGAACCAGTTATTCCTCTTTCCCATCCTTCAAGACCGACGTCTGTATTGAGGAACGCTGCCATTTTTCTAGCAAAGGAACCCAAACAATTCACAAGGAGAAGACTTGCTAAGATTTCAGACTCCTCTCCAGTATTCAAATTTGGGCACATCAGGTATGAGTCCCAAGTTTGGTCCAGATCCATCTTTGGTTGGGTTGACAGTGTCTCCAGGTGTAGATGAACTACAACTCCCAAATGTCAAGGCCAATCCCCCCCCCCCAACCTCTCCAGTATTCAAATTTGGGCACATCAGGTATGAGTCCCAAGTTTGGTCCAGATCCATCTTTGGTTGGGTTGACAGTGTCTCCAGGTGTAGATGAACTACAACTCCCAAATGTCAAGGCCAATCCCCCCCCCCCAACCTCTCCAGTATTCAAATTTGGGCACATCAGGTATGAGTCCCAAGTTTGGTCCAGATCCATCTTTGGTTGGGTTGACAGTGTCTCCAGGTGTAGATGAACTACAACTCCCAAATGTCAAGGCCAATCCCCCCCCCCCAACCTCTCCAGTATTCAAATTTGGGCACATCAGGTATGAGTCCCAAGTTTGGTCCAGATCCATCTTTGGTTGGGTTGACAGTGTCTCCAGATGTAGATGAACTACAACTCCCAAATGTCAAGGCCAATCCCCCCCCCCCAACCTCTCCAGTATTCAAATTTGGGCACATCAGGTATGAGTCCCAAGTTTGGTCCATATCCATCTTTGGTTGGCTTGACAGTGTCTCCAGATGTAAATGAACTACAACTCCCAAATGTCAAGGCCAATCTCCCCCAACGTCTCCAGTATTCAAATTTGGGCACATCAGGTATGAGTGCCAAGTTTGGTCCAGGTCCATCTATGGTTGGGTTGACAGTGCTCTCTGGATGTAAACTACAACTCCTATAAATCAAGGTCAATTATCCGCAAACCTGGTAATGGGGGTTCTGTGTGCCAAGTGTAGTCCAGGTCCATTGTTAGTGATGCTCACTGTGCTGTGTCTTGATGCAGGGTGAACTACAACTTCCATCATGTTGAGTAGTCCCCCAAACTCCTTCAGTACGTTCAGTTGCTGATCAATTCCTCTGTGTGCCATAGAAAAGAGTAGTAAAGGGTTATGGGAGAGGCAGTGGGCGGGGTCATGCAAATTCCACACCAATGGAGAGAGTCAGAAACACTGGGATGTCTGTGGTAGAGGAAAAACATAAAATCTAGGAGGAAATCATCCCCGTATGAAAGCCTTCACTTGGGTGGGCAGTATGGAGAAAAGAATAGAAAAGGGTTAAGGGAGAGGCAGTGAGTGGGGTCATGCAAATTCAACACCAATGGAGAGAGTCAGAAACACTGGGATGTCTGTGGTGGAGGAAGAACATAAAATCTGGGAGGAAATTGTCCCTGTATGAAAGCCTTCACTTGGGTGGGCAGTATGGAGAAAAGAATAGGAAAGGGTTAAGTGAGAGGCAGTGGGTGGGGTCATGCAAATTCAACACCAATGGAGAGCATAAGGAACACTGAGATGCCTCCACACCAATGGAGGGAGTCAGAAACACTGGTATGTCTATGGTGGAGGAAAAACATAAAATCTAAGAGGAAATCATTCCTGTATGAAAGCCTTCACTTGGGTGGACAGTATGGAGAAAAGAATAGGAAAGGGTTAGGAGAGAGGAAGTGGGCGGGGTCATATAAATTCAACACCAATGGAGAGAGTCGGAAACACTGGGATGTCTGTGGTAGAGGAAAAATACAAAATCTAGGAGGAAATCGTCCCCGTAAGGAAGCCTTCACTTGGGTGGGCAGTATGGAGGAAAGAACAGGAAAGGGTTAAGGGTGAGGTCATGCAAATTTGACACCAATGGAGAGAGTAAGGAACACTGGGATGCCTCCACACCAATGGAGAGAGTCAGAAACACTGGGAGGTCTTTGGTGGAGGAAACACATAAAATTTAGGATTAAATTGTCCCCACTTGGGTGGAGGGCAGTATGATGTTTGGGGAGGTGTCTCCTGAGTGGTCAAGTTATAGCTGTTTGTGGAGGCAGGACCTTGTTTGGGTAAGTGGGCACCCCAGCCACACACACATGTACATGCATATTTCCACTTTTATTATGTGTACAGATATATCAATGGACATCTCCCTATTTATTCAATCTTATTATTCTTCCTAATACCGATAATCTCTCTCATTACCCCCTCAGGAAAACAAGGAGGAAGATTGACCCCCAGAACATCACAAGTGGTTATTCCATACTACACAATTATAGCTTTATGATTCCACTTTTACTGTAATATAATATATGCAATGTACTGTAATATATGGAATCCTGGGGCTTGGAGTTTGGGAGGCCCTCAAGCTATCACTTGAATACTCTAAATATCTCATCAGAGTACAAACCTACATAATTAATGGGATGGAGACACAGTCATGGATTCATAAAGCCAAAATTGTGTAGTGTGAAAAGGGCCTGAAGTCAAGCAATGGCTTCTGGGATGGTGAACCCAACCTACTTGGTCCATCAGAGGTGGATCTACCATACTTTGGAACTAACCAAACGTTTGTCTTTCAGGTTTGACTCCACCTCCCAGACATGGCTTTCTCTTCTCAGTCTTCTTGCATGCCATCCTGCTCCATCCCATCTTCTAGACCTTCCCTAGGCATTGGATCCTGCGGCATGGGAGGAGGCTTCGGTGGTGGCATGTACGGATCTGGCGGTGGTTCCGGCATGATGGGATATGGCGGTGGTTCCGGCATGATGGGATATGGTGGCGGCTCCAGCATGATGGGATATGGTGGCAGCTCCGGTCTTGCAGTATCAGCAGCCCAACTAGGAATCCTTCCTGGAATTCGCCCTTCCTGCATCAACCAGCTTCCACCATCAGAAGTGGTGATCCAGCCACCTCCAGTTGTGATGACCATCCCAGGACCCATCATGGCCTCCACTGGCCAGCCCTTAGCTGTGGGAGGCTACTCACCATGTGCATCCGGAGGATATGGCTCTTATGGCTCTGGCTCCGGTGGCTATGGACTGGGAGGTTACGGAGGGTACCTCGGTGGTGGTATTGGTGGTGGTGGTTTCGGCAGCAAAGGGTTTTGTGGGTCAAGACGTAGGCAAAGTATCTGTGGTAGCCCCTGCTAAATGACAAGGAGACAGTCCACACAACTTGGAAAGCCATGACATGAATCCACATCTAGTTCGTTTGGTCCTGGATACTTGAATGCATTTAGAGTAGCCAAATATTTCTGTGCTGTATCTTTACCTATTTTGCGCTGCATTTCACCTATTGTTTCACAAACACAAAACTCCTGCAGTTGCTCAGCGTCTCTGAGAACAACAGCCAGCTGTGTGTTTGACACGTTGCACTTTCTTTGTGACAATATCCATTTCTTAGTAGCATGCATTTCTCAGAGTGTAAGTAGTCTCTTCTACCGAATGTCCTCCTTAAATGCAGATGATATCGTAAAAGAAGACAGGACAGAATACAATTCACTCTTACCGCACTTGCTGTTTTTGTTGCTGTGTTGTATACAATTTGTTAGGAGCCTATATCATTTTCTGTATCACCTTCTGCCCATCAATAAAGCTTCGTTTGCATCCAACTTCGATTTGATTTTTGTCTTAAGGAAAGCAGCTGAAAGGTCTAAGTAAACTTTAAGTGCTGGTCTCATGTGGAACACATCGCAACAACAACAACAACAACAACAACAACTTTATTTATAGACTGCCCTCTCTCCCCAAGGGGATTCAGGTTGGTTTACACACAAAGAAGGCAAACATTCAATGCCCGAACAGCAACTACTACTACTATTACTACTACTACTACTTTATTTATAGACCGCCCTCTCTCTCCAAGGGGACTCAGGTTGGTTTACACACCAAGAAGGCAAACATTCAATGCCCGAACAGCAACTACTACTACTACTACTACTACTTTATTTATAGACCGCCCTCTCTCCCCAAGGGGACTCAGGTTGGTTTGCACACAAAGAAGGCAAACATTCAATGCCCGAACAGCAACAACTACTACTACTACTACTACTACTACTACTTTATTTATAGACCGCCCTCTCTCTCCAAGGGGACTCAGGTTGGTTTACACACAAAGAAGGCAAACATTTAATGCCCGAACAGCAACTACTACTACTACTACTATTACTACTACTACTTTATTTATAGACCGCCCTCTCTCTCCAAGGGGACTCAGGTTGGTTTACACACAAAGAAGGCAAACATTTAATGCCCGAACAGCAACTACTACTACTACTACTACTATTACTACTACTACTTTATTTATAGACCGCCCTCTCTCTCCAAGGGGACTCAGGTTGGTTTACACACAAAGAAGGCAAACATTCAATGCCCGAACAGCAACTACTACTACTACTACTATTACTACTACTACTTTATTTATAGACCGCCCTCTCTCCCCAAGGGGACTCAGGTTGGTTTACACACAAAGAAGGCAAACATTCAATGCCCGAACAGCAACTACTACTACTACTATTACTACTACTACTTTATTTATAGACCGCCCTCTCTCTCCAAGGGGACTCAGGTTGGTTTACACACAAAGAAGGCAAACATTCAATGCCCGAACAGCAACTACTACTACTACTACTACTACTACTACTACTTCATTTATAGACCGCCCTCTCTCCCCAAGGGGACTCAGGTTGGTTTGCACACAAAGAAGGCAAACATTCAATGCCTGAACTCAAATACAAATATTTTAACACAAACAGAATACAAAAATAAGAACCATAAACTTGTGACAAGAGAGAAATTGACACCAAAATGAGGAGCAAATACCGATAATTGAATAAACCTAATTATACTAATAACATCAATTAACAATTTAAACACAAACCCTAGAAAAGGCAATTAAAATTCATTAAAATGACTATCAAGGTTGTTCTTCTCATGTACCTCAGCAGCAGGGGACTACAGATAGGTTAGCAGCATTCCAGTGGAACTGAAATGTCCTAATCTTCCTCCACCTCCTCCTCCACCACCTCCTCCTCCTCCACCTTCCTCTTCCTCTTCCTCCTACTCCTCTGCAGCCGACGCGCCGCCGAAACAAAAAAAAAGAAAGAAACTACTACGCCGAAAAATCAGACAAAAGCGGCAAACATCGCAGCAGAAGCCGAAATCAAAAGAAGCAGAAAAAGAAGGAGACAAGCCGCCCAACGCGCGCCGCGCCATAAAACAGACCAAGAGAAGCAAACAACGACGCGACGAATAACGACGGCACGACATCCGGTGGTCTCCGAAGCAAGAAAAAAACACCATCCACACCTCAACCGAAAACGAAACGCCGAAGAAGCAGACGAAGAAGAAGCACGCCTCACAAAAAACAACCGACGAAACGCCGCAAGAAACAGACGCCACCGCCTCATAAACCTAATCCTAGCGCATTAGACAGAAGAAAACTTAAAACGCAGAAGACTAAAGACCGCAGACGCAACACTCCATAATCAGCAAACAACGTCACTCCCCCTCCTCCCCTCCCTCCTCCTCCTCAACCTCCTCCACCTCCTCCTCCTCCTCCTCCTCCACCACCACCTCCACCACCTCCTCCTCCTCCTCCTCCTCCTCCTCCTCTCCATACACCAAAGTGCTCAAGTGCGTTTCCAAGAGCTCCTGCAAGTTCTCATTCCTGTCTGCTTCTTACAGCCAATGCTGGAGGAGTGGTTTCTGCTTGCTCATGTTCTTGAAGCTGAGCTGCAAAGCTTTAAAGCAGCAGATGGGAGTCTGGCTGAACATCTTCCCATACAACAATCCCAGAGACAGTCCCACGTCTGCCTGGATGAAGCCCATTGTAATCCTTTTACACCTCAGCTCCTTGGTAAATTGTTCCATCTGTGCTGAGGTCATGTCCTCCTGAGTGACCTCTTTCCCTCCTCCTTCTCTGCCAGTCAGCTTTCGTAAGACATTGTTTCTAGCACCCACTTTTTGCTTGATAATCAGGCAGTGCTTCTTGTAGGTCAGAGCACGGTCCAGAGTGACTCCCAGGTATTTGGGTGTGCTGCAATGCTCCAGTGGGATTCCTTCCCAGGTGTTCCAGCGAGTGTCTCTGTAGATCTTAGAAAACTATTTCTTGATTTAAGTCGTTGACGTGCTGGCTGATACCCAAACAGGGGATGAGCTGGAGATGTCTCTGCCTTGGTCCTTTCACTATTGGCTTCTACTTCCCGGAGGATGTCAGGTGGTGCAATACCGGCTAGACAGTGTAATTTCTCCAGTGGTGTAGGGCACAGACACCCTGTGATAATGCACCACGCCCACTGTTTTAGCGTGGTGAGATGTGTTCCACACTGGGCATGTGTACTCAGCAGCAGAGTAGCATAGCGCATAGGGCAGATGTCTTCACTGTGTCTGGTTGTGATCCCTAGGTTGTGCCAGTCAGCTTTCGTATGATATTGTTTCTAGCACCCACTTTTTGCTTGATATTCAGGCAGTGCTTCTTGTAGGTCAGAGCACGGTCCAGGGTGACTCCCAGGTATTTGGGTGTGCTGCAGTGCTCCAGTGGGATTCCTTCCTTCCCAGGTCATCCTCAGAGCTCGGGATGCTTGTCTATTCTTAAGGTGAAAAGCACATGTCTGTGTTTTAGATGGATTAGGAATCAGTTGGTTTTCTCTGTAATAGGCAGTAAGAGCACCTAGAGCTTTGGAGAGCTTCTGTGCAACCATCTCAAAGCTCCCTGTAAATAAAATCTCCTTAAAACCATTCCTCTTTCCTCCCACTGGTCCCATTCCCTATCTTCTCCAGGAGGGAGACAGGGCAGGGCATCATTCCTTCCTACCAAATGTCAAAGATGCACCACACACACGTGAAGGAGGAAGAGGAGGGGAACTGGAGGCATTCCTTGCGTGAGAGAGGGAGGAGGAGACTCAGGAGGAGAGTCGCACTCGCCATGCACTCTCCAAGGCATTTTAAGGAGGCTTCTCACTTCCAGATAAAGAAGTGTGATGACCTCCTGGAAGAGGAGCATAAATGAGAGTTTACATTTTGTTCGTTGGGAGAATAATTATAAATATTAAACTGTGCTCATGAAAAGCAGGCAAGGAAACGGTACCAGCTCCCGCTTTCTTTTGTTCTGAGCTAATTTTCGTTGCGGGAGGTAGGTACCCTGTTTCGTGCTCCAGCCCAAAACAAAAGGAATCAAAGAACAAATTGAACGGGAGAAACAAAAACTGTGCATGTGAATGGCAGGTAGAAGGTTTGAGGAAAAGAGACAAAAGAGAGTTCCTGAGGTCTGTAAAAGCACGGTTTATTCTCAGTTGGCGCCAACCGGATATGGACCCTACTAGTAGTCCAGGAAACAGAGTACCGAACAAAAGAATTACCTTGGTTTATACAGCCTTTAAAATAATATGCATCCATCATACAAGCATTACAATGTGCATCACAAAATTCCACTTTTACATTGATATCAATAGCATATTTTAACTTCAACACCTTCAATCTTCCATTAAGCATCTTTATCTAAAGAGCAGCTCATTAAGAGGACCACCCCATACCTCATAGCACCAGAATGTCTACCAGGCTACTGATTGCAAGAGCTTCCATCCATCCTGAGATAATTCCTTCCTGAAGAAGGCTCGGGATACCCACACTCATTAATCTTATGATAAGGCCTGCTTGGTACGAAATGGAAGATTCTGTTGATATTAGCCAGAGACATTCCTTTCCTTAGACCTCTTTCTGGCCTCTAATTTGCAGCTTTTAGGAAGAGCTTCTCTTCCCAAGTGAACGTCCATGCATCCTTTGTGATTTCATTTATATTTTCTAATTCCTATTTCTAATATGGTTACATCCAATATATATTTTCCAATATGTGTATCATATTTTTATCATGCCTTCGTCACATGTGTCTAATACCTATTATTCAACTGATGTTGTAGTAGAGTCTGTTGGTAACTTTACTACTGCTAGTGAGAGTAGTAGAGGAGGGAAACGAGGTGCTCAGGTGTTAGAAGAGGAACAACAAAGGAAGAGAATTCAGGAGATACTTATGACACCCTCAGACGAAGACTCCTTCAAAGATTTCTCAGAGTGAAATGTGCGAGGAGAAGGAGAGAGATGGCAATACAGGTGTCAATAGGATTACTTGAGAGCAGGAGTCAGACAAAGAGTGTCAGAGAAAGAGGATCTGGGACATACTTAGTGCTCCCACTGAAGAAGAGGATTTCATGGGCTTTCCTGGAAGTAATGGGTCTGGGAGTAGTGAGGATGAAGGGGAACCGTTGGATTGGACCCAAGTTCAAGAAGTCAGGAATGTGTGCATGCAACCCACGTCCAGTGATACTTTTGAGGGTTTTTCTGGGGATTGGCAATTTGGTGATACCAGGGAATTATGGGGAGACCTAAGTCTTGACAAGAGGTGGAAGAGTTGGAGGGCGTTCAGTTGTTGAGGGTAAGACAGCTGACAGCGATGAGGAAAGGGTGGAGGGCAACTCATCAACGGATGATGAGTTGTAGGATAAATGAACGCACTGGAGTTATAGAACTTTGCAGTAGGCAAAGTGTTGGTTTCGTCCCTTGGGTCCTGCTGCTTCTCTTGTTGGGCTTGGGTCCTGGAACTGCAGGTTGC